AGGCCTTCGGCCACGTGCTTTTGCTATTATCCTGCCAATACCCATGTATCCGTCAAATCATGCCAGATAACAAGAAAATAGCAACAGCATATTAGCATCACACTGGTAAAATGTAATATCAGTAAGGGAGGTGTCATTTATTACGGGATTTTTTTGGGAGGGGGTCCCCAATAAAATATCATGTATATCAATACAGTCATCGGGCATTCAATTTTATTTAGTCGGATATAGTCTATCTGATCGGCAGATTTAATTTAAATACCGATTATCATTTATCATGTAGGGGGGGGTAAATTTACTATTTGTAAAAAATCATGTAATAAATGACACCTCCCTAATATAACAGTAAAATTATTGGAATATCCCAATAACTTACTTTTATATCCAGAGTGCTAAGAGTAAGATATCAATGTATTTCAATATTGTGCTGTTATATTACCAATATCGATCTACCTCCTAATATTTTACTAATATGCTGCCAATATACCGATATTCATTGATTCAAAAAACCTGTCATCGAGCTTTCAATTTTCAGTTGGTTTTCTACATGCTATCTATGGGCGATCGATCCTGATGATAGATTGTCCATAGACGGCATACAGAAAGCCAACTGAACATTGAAAGCCCGATGATAGGTTTCCTATTGACAGCACTCATATATAAAATATATTTCATATTATTATTATTTATTTTTTAATTTTATTTAAAAATTATAAATACTTTTCAAAATTCTAGGCAAATTTTGCCTGAAATAAAGATCAAGAGATAATCTTTACCACTACTTCTGTACTTAAATGAAATCAAAAATTGTAGAATTGATCATTAATAAGTTTAGCAATTCCACAATTTCACAAGCATGCAATTGTAAATTGACATACTGTCCAGTTTGCTACGGTAGTTTGCCGCATTGTGGCTTTAAAGTAAATCAAACCATGGCTTGTATTTGTGTCATCCATTAAACCTCCTAAATAACCGTTATCTATATGTATTTCGGAGCAAATATCGGATGCCCTAATGGATAATATGAACAAGCCACCACTTTAAAGCCACTATGTCGTCACATAAGTTACTAGCATTGCAAACTATATAGTAATCTATACACACAATTAGGCGGCATCCATAATTTACGTTAAACCAGTACTGTATAGTGTAGAAATAGAAACCTTTAATGATAATATATAGCATATATATAGTGTATATGTATTATTTTTGTATTGTTCTTAAGAATCCTACTGTATAACAATACTGGTTTAACGTAAACTATGGATGCCGCCTTAGTACAAATACAGTACAATTTCAGAGTTCGATTTGTAAGTAATTGAACAGGCTCATACACGATTTCGGTTAACTATATGACCAATCGTTTACTGTTAATAAATATTATGCCTGGTATTGTTAGCACAATGCTGATGTCAATGCTAGTACCGATGCTCCAAATTTAAATCAAGTTAGGCCGTGCCTTATTGTACAGGTATTGCAGAACCCTCCTTAATTTACAATGACTAAATAAATTTAAAAAAGTCGAGTTATTTCTTTTTTTTTTTTTTTTTGAAAATTGTGATTTTGTAAGTTCATATTAATCAAATAAAATTCAAGTTTTTATTAAAATTCAAGCAGCGATAAGTACGTACCTGATTTTAGGTGGGTTTGATTGAACCGTAATTAAGGTGGTTCAACGGTTAACTCGTTATTTCTTGGACGGTTCAAACCACTAGCTAGAAGTCATTAAAAAAAAAACAGGATTAGTAATACAACTAAAACTTATATATTAGAAATTTCACCTAAAATCTCACTAGTAATAAAAATGACGATAATGTTCTATCTTACTTCCTCCAGATTACAGTGTATATATAGTATATATATATATATATATATATATATATATATAACTTATATAGTGTATTAAATATACTGTAAACGTAGATTACAAATTTGCGGGGAAGATCCGCTTCAACATTCCTATATCTGGGTATTTGATATAATAACACGTGTGCAACATATGTAACATATCAGATATTCTAAGCCTATAACAGTATAAAAGAAGCCAACTTACCATTACCGTTTTTATCCCACGGAACTTAACTATATCAATATCGATATGACCAGTCCAGCAACTTTAATAGAAAAAGGGCATGCCGAAGTTGGAGGAAAACATCGCACTGATAAAACAGAAAGTTTAAAGATTTATTATGAAATACATGGAAATGGGCCTAATAAGTTATTTTTTATCATGGGTATGTTAGATTTTTTTTCTCAGAGTAATCATGATCGAACAATAAAGTCCCAACGTACACAATATATAATAGGATTGAACACAACATCGGGGAGTTGGGAATATCAGGTATTGATCAAATTATTATTTCGCAAAAAAAGAAATTTAAATGCTATTCATGTACGAATGTAATCCAACTTTAACACAGGTCAGGTATTTTGGAGAACATCCTGACTTCCAAGTTTGCGTCTTTGATAATCGTGGAGTTGGATGGTCAGGTTCGTCATTACTTTGATTACTGTAATTATCGTAATTACTGGGATTTCTGTAATTTCTGTGATTACTGTGATTACTATAAGTAGGGTTGTCAACGGGTGGGTTGGATTGATCCAACTTTCAACCTACTCCATTAAATTAAACTTCTACTTCAGGTTGCTTTAGACCTGCTTGGATTGCACCAAATTTATAGACATATTTTTAATCACTCCAACTTGGGTTGGGTGTGACTCCGGAGTATGCCACTCCATTAACAACCCTATCTGTAAATGCCGTAATCGCTGTAATTGCTATAATTGCCATAATTACTGCTGTAATACGTATATCAAATCGAGAGTTTTTAAAATTCTTTTATGGTAATTCAAAAAATAAATTAAAGATGCTCCTAGCGGATTATACAGGTAAATCAGCAAATCATAGAATATAACGATAATATAAGAGTATGAAATTCTATTATTTAATCCAACATATTGTTATTTCTCAGTACGAGTCAAATGGCTCAGGACGCAATCGGTCTTATGGAACATATCGGATGGACAGAAAATATCCATGTAATTGGAATATCTATGGGCGGTATGATCGCTCAAGAATTGGTTTTATCAAAACCTGAATATGTGAAATCTTTGTGCTTGACTTCAACAACTGCAGGAATGACTATACCTCCAGTAAGTTATGTCGTTTTTTGGGTATAGTATTAAAAAATTTTTTAAAAAAAGTATCCTTTTTGCAACAGATTGCCGCCATTACAACAATCACTAGAATCCTCTTTATAAAAGATCCAAAGATTAAAATAAACGCAATTGTGAAAATAATGTTTACAAAGGTAATAAACAAAAGCGAAATTTATATTTAATGACAATTATGATATAAAACGTTGTTATTTTTATTGTAGGAATGGTTAGCCGCATCTGCCCCTCCTGGTTCCCCACACAAGAATAATGAAGAACGAATAATTGAGGTAATACATCTAAAATTAATTTTTTACTATTTTTTGTTTATTGATTCAAATGATTTAAATAATTCCCGCTCTAAAATATTATTAGGATTTACACAAACGAATTAATAGAACTCGCCTTCAACCAATTAACGGTATTCTATAATTTCTCTTATCAATAAAACCATTAAACCACTAAGCCACTAAACCACAATTTATTCCACTTGCAGGTGCGATTGGTCAAATAGCTGCAACTCTCCTTCATTATGTTTCTCCAAAGCGACTTCAGCAAATTCGAAGCTCTATTCCGCACGTACGTATTGTTTTTTAATAATATCCATTGTATCTTTTTGAGCATGCTGTGATAATAATCCAAGCTTACCAACATTATAGATATTAGTAATAACTGGTAGTTGGGATAATTTCGTAAGACCTAACAACAGTTTTTATCTCGCTAAACAACTTCAAGCAGATTTTGAATTTTGGGAAGGTAATCAAACATTAATATTTTGTATTTTATTGGAGTTTTTTTTTTTTTTTTTAATTGAAATTAATTTAAAATCTAGGTTGCGGTCATGTTCCATGTGGTGAACAAATCGAAAGATATAATGCCTCGTTAGAGAAACATTTTAGAAAAGCCGGGTTAATTCATTCATCACATACTTAATAGATGTGATCTTTATATTTATACCAAGGTTAAAAAAAGTTACACATTGTATTCTATTCAAAGTAGCAAAAATAATTGATCCTAAAAATAAATTTTAATACTATTTGACATTTTTCTATTACATTTTGCCAATTTGTGACATTTCTCTCTATATTATTAAAATCGAATGATCTTTATACAAAGGCTAAATAATTGAGTGTCTTTTTATCTCTTTTTTTTTTTTTTTGAATGTTATTTCATCTGTTGTACTTCTATCACATTCTTTTCATTACGATTATTATATAACAATAACCAGACCATTATTTTGTTTCTTTAGGAACATCTAAAACATAATGAGCATCAACGTATCTTTCGGCATTATCATCGTCTTCAAAAGTAAGTAAATATTTTAAAGATACTGATAGTTTACTTGGTGGAAGAACTACATCAGCTTTATAAAAGCATGTTGTACCCGGATACAATGCTATAACTGTTGAAGATTGTGGAAACTCTGGCATCCACATTTCACCAGGTTTTGGAATTATTAACACGTTTTTTGATGGTACCAAAAATCGTCTATATTAAGCGAAAAAAATGAGATAAAAAAAATATAGAATGTGGTAAAGTTCAAAACGTGAAAAGGGCTGAAGTGAAAAACTTACTCTCCAGGTCTGTTTGAGGCCTCATCTCTATCTGCATCTTCAACTTCATAACTTAATTTGTATATATGGGTTATTAGGATGAAAATAATCATTAAAATTTACATTTTAATAAAATTTATTTTCACCTTTTTATTTCAGGTATATATCCTACAACTATGGCG